GAGGAAATGGTGAAGGATGGTGTTATTGAACCTTCATCTAGTCCATGGTGTTCACCTGTGGTGCTGGTAAAGAAGAAGGACGGCAGCATGCGGTTTTGTTTTGACTACCGCCGCCTGAACGACGTTACAAAGAAGGACAGCTATCCCTTGCCAAGAATTGAGTCATCAACGCTGGACATGCTTACAGGCGTAAAGTGGTTTAGTACGCTGGATCTGAAAAGTGGCTACTGGCAGGTTGAAATTGACCCTAAAGACAAGGAGAAAACTGCATTCTCCACAGGAAAGGGTCTGTGGCAATTTAAAGTCATGCCGTTTGGATTGTGCAATGCTCCAGCAACGTTTGAAAGGTTGATGGAGCTTGTACTTACCGGGCTAATTGGAGATGCCTGTCTAGTCTATTTGGATGACATCATCATCGTAGGCCGTACGTTTGAGGAACACCTTCAAAACCTGGAACGTGTGCTCACAAAGATCCAGAGTGCCAACCTCAAGTTGAGTCCGAAGAAGTGCTCACTATTCAAACGGCAAGTTAGTTTTTTGGGGTATGTAGTGTCGGAAGAAGGTATCCGCACGGATCCAGAGAAAATTGCCGCTGTCAAGGAGTGGCCGGTTCCAAAAGACAAGACGCAGGTTAGAGCATTTTTGGATTTGTGCTGTTATAATCGGCGATTTGTGAAGAACTTTGCAGATATAGCCAAACTACTGCACAAGCTAACCGAGGAGAAGCGACATTTCTGCTGGGATGAAAGTTGCGATATTGCATTCCAGGAGCTCAACAACCGTCTGTGCAAACGCCTATTTTGGGGTACCCTGATGCGGGCAAGGAATTCATAGTTGACACAGACGTAAGTGATATAGGACTTGGTGGTGTGTTGTCTCAACGGAATGGTGATCAAGAGATTGTGATAGCGTAATTCAGCAAGTCGTTGTCAAAGCCGGAAAGGAACTATTGTGTCACAAGACGGGAATTGCTTGCTGTGGTAAAGTCCTTGCAGCATTTTAGCAAATATCTCCTGGGGCGGAAATTCTACTTACGAACTGACCATGCTGCACTGAAATAGCTATTGCAGTTCAAAAATCCGGAAGGACAAGTTACGAGATGGATTGAACTACTACAGGAATATGACTTTGTGATCGAACATCGCAGTGGGAAATCTCATGGCAATGCAGATGCATTATCAAGAAGACCTTGCCCTGAAGATTGCAAGCATTGTACTAGGCAAGAGGGTAAAGAAGTGGTATCTGCGAGGATATTCAGGACAGACCAGCTCAGCAATGAATGGAAGGACAGCCTACAACATGCACAGCAGGAAGATTCGGACATTAAGCCGATTCTGGAATGGATGAAGGCCAGTGCTCCTAAGCCTAAGTGGAGCGACGTCTCAGCAATGAGTTCGACCACGAAAAGCTATTGGGCCCAATGGGACAGCTTGCAGATTCAGGATGGAGTCCTGTGCCGTAAATGGGAAAATAGTCGGGGAGACAGGTGTCATTTTCAAATGGTTGTCCCTAAGGCTAAAGTACCGGATGTTCTCCAGCTGCACCATAGTGGTTGTTCAGGAGGCCACCTGGGAGTTAAACGAAGTCTACTGAAGATCCGAGAACGGTTTTACTGGGTCCACTGTCGTGACGATGTCGAGGAATGGTGCCGCAAATGTACAAGTTGTGCGGCTGTAAAGGGACCTCAAATTCGTAGTAGAGGCGCATTGAAATTGTACAATGTTGGTGCACCATGGGAGAGGATAGCCATTGACGTTGCAGGGCCATTTCCGGAAAGTGAAAGTGGTAACAAGTATTTCATGGTTGTGATGGATTACTTTACTAAGTGGCCATAAGTCTTCGCCATTCCAAATCAAGAAGCTTCAACAGTTGCAGATAAACTAGTTCATGAAGTCTTCTGTCGTTTTGGAGTACCTTTAGAGATTCACAGCAATCAAGGAAGGAATGTTGAGTCTCAAATATTCCAGGAAACTTGCAGAGTTATGGGTACTCAGAAAATACGAACAACTTTTTACCACCCACAATCTGATGGAATGGTAGAAAGATTTAATCAGACATTGGAGAGGTACCTAGTAAAAGTTGTGGAAAAACGGCAACGAGACTGGGACAGGCACATAAAACCGTTTTTGTTGTCATATCGAAGCGCTGTTCACGAAAGTACATCGGTGACACCAGCTTTCGCAAACTTTGGGAGAGAATTGCGGCTGCCTGCAGACCTGATCACCGGAATACCACCTGATGCCCCACGCAGTATAACCGATTATGCAAATGACTTGCGGAACAAAATGAATGACATTTATGAGCACGTCAGACAGACGGGCCAGCAAACGTCTGAGAAGATGAAAACACGGTATGACCACAAAATGAACAACAAGGGGTTTGATGAAGGTTCACTAGTGTGGTTACACAATCCAGTCCGCAGCAAAGGGAAATCTCCTAAGCTTCAAGCTAAATGGGACGGACCGTACCGGATTGTGACAAGGATCAATGATGTAATCTACCGGATACAGAAAGGTGCCAGAGGAACTCCTAAGATTGTCCATGTGGATCGACTGGCGCGTTATTATGGGGCCAATAATGCTCGGGACGAGCATGTCTTAGGAGGGGGCAGTGTTGCGCGCCACTATTAATGTCTTGTACATGGAAACACTAGTTACACTAGCGCCCCCTAGTATCGAGTAAATGAAAGTATTGCGCGCCACTATTAATGTCTTGTGCATGGCAACACTAGTTACGTAGCAGAACTAGGAGAGTCGAGATCCTTCCAGAAATTTCGGGAGCGATATGTACTCGAACATTCTAGATGTCGCTACAGTAGAAGGTTCTGGAAACTATCTGAGGCCCTATATAAGGCCGGTATAGACCACGACCGGGGCAGTATTGAATTGGCAATACAAGAGAATACTTCGAAGCGAAATAACGGCGAACTGTTTCATTATTAGTGTGATTTTAGACTGTAATTAGTGTTGTGTAATTAAAGTGTCAATATTGGTAATTCAATCGGCAGTTTTTAATTGTCTCGAACCTCAAGCTCGTAACATTATTATTACATTGATATTACATGAGATAGATAGATACTGGTAAGTAATGACGGAGAAGTGCTTTTTTTTATAGGATAAGGGTGACGAACGAGCACACAGTCCACCTGATGGTAAGTGATTGCTGTGGCCCATAGATATCGATATCTATCCTCTATTACAAATCAATATGTAGATGCGTTGTCACCCGTGAGGACTAAGATGGAATACCTCATTTCCAGTAAAGAGGGCCTCTGGCCGCCTGCACTCACCAAGCGAAACGCAGAGGTACACCTCTACTCAACGCTGGTTTTCTATGAGGTCGTGGTACCACCCCGGTTCGAGCCGGCCCATCCCTGCGACAGCAAAAGCTGCCCCGTTGCTCTACCACTGTTAAAAAGTGCTTCTGAATCAGTAGAAGAACTTGCTGTATATTAAAACATTCGCTTTTATTTATATTTTAAACGGTTTACTTCCTTGTTCATAATGCATACAGCAAAGGACTGAAATGATTTGCCGGCATCTGTCTTTCTATCAGATTTTTATTAAAGTGAGTTCAAGACAAGAGTGAATGGCCTTTTGTTAAGCCAAGTCAGTGCGCTTTACCTTCTTCGGCTGCATCACCACTTACCATCAGGTGGGATAGTAGTCAAGCACTGGCTTATAATTGTAATAAAAGGGGTAAGAGGAAAACTCCAATATGTCCAATAATACAAGAACTCGAATTGTAAAACCACAAAGATTCTGAAAGTTCAATATTTTCACCGACTCAAAAAAGGAGGATATTTACAATTCTACTGTATGTTATTTTTCTGATTGTATGTTACGCGATGTCTTCGTCAATTATGATCCGCTTTTGATGGTTCTATTTTTAAATAGTATATTTGATTCTGATTTTATTTACACTTATTTGTAAAAAATCACGTTATTTTTATAAAATAAAAACAAATTTGTTAACGCTATCTAAGTCATACGACTACCTTCGATTTAAATATTTACCTTTTTTCCATTTCTTTATAAGACAGCGTATCACTGTATATGATAACATAAAGAAATAACATTTTCAACGTGGTAGAGTCACTGCAGCAGTAACAAGAATAGTTTGCATAAACAAAATCTCTAAAGAACGTCAAAATATACACTGCTTCGCAAAAGCAAGATCTTCTCAAAGACAAACAGGTAAGAAACTCAGAGGTCTCTCTAGATGTCATGTTACATATAGTTTTATTTACAACTTTTATAATATATCATTTACCAAAAGAAGACAAATTATTAGAGGAGATACGGGAAATACTAACTGAAGATATGAAAAATGGCCATAACATTTCTGCGGAGAATACGTGGTCTAAATTTGAAAACCTGTGCAGGAATTCAGCTGAGAAAAACTTAGGAATATCGAGAGGAAAGCTGCATAATAACAAAGATCCTTCATGGTGGAATGAAGAAGTAAAAGGCGCATTAAGGAACAAGAAAGAGTGCTTCAAACAATGGCAGAGCTTAGGTTTGGACGACGACCGCATACTATATAAAACCGCTAAAAAGCTGGCGAAGTATAAAGTGGCGAAACAAAGAAATTACTCCAGGGAAAAGTTCTACAAACGCCTTGAAAATGCAAACAATGATAGAGATATATTTAAGCTCGCCAAACAACGCCATAAAAACGGTCTGGATATTAAAATTAATAAATACATTAAAAACGAAAATGGCCATTTACTAACAGAAGATAAGAAAATTAATGAGCGATGGTGCCAATATTATCAAAAACTACTGAACGAAGAATTCCCGAGTCAACCATTGAATACAACACCTAGCGTAGCTGGGCCATTGAACAAAATAGGTGAAGAGGAGGTCAAAAGAGCTCTGAAAAAGATAAAAAACCACAAAGCAGTTGGACCGGATAGTATACCCGCTGATCTGTGGAAGCTGCTGGGGCCTATTGCTGTACAGTGACTAACGAAGCTCTTTAATCAAATCTTAACCTCCATGAAGATCCCAAAGTCCTGGCGTCATAGTTATCTGGTACCTTTCTACAAGAACAAAGGAGATGTCAGTGACTGCGGCAATTATAGGGGTATCAAACTTACTTCCCATACTTTGAAACTATGGGAGCGCATACTCAACAATCGACTCTGTCAGTTGGTGTCCATATCTGATAATCAGTGTGGTTTCGCGCCAGGAAGATCAACGACTGATGCAATCCAAGCCATAAGGATTCTGATGGAAAAACACCGAACCAACAGAGAAGACCTCCACCTAGTGTTCATAGACCTGGAAAAGGCTTTCGACAGAATACCACGTAAATTAGTTTGGGAAGCTATGAGAGCACAACAAATACCAGAACTCTATATTCACCTGGTGCATGATATGTATCAAAACATAAGCACACAGGTGAGAAGCCTGGCAGGACTTAGCGAACCGTTCCAAGTTAAGGTCGGAGTGCATCAGGGATCGGCACTAAGCCCATTCCTACTTAACCTATCTCTGGATTATCTAACTAAAGACATCCAGTCCCCCCTCCCATGGTGCATGCTATATGCGGACGATATTGTGCTCATCGACAAATGTGCGATTCAACTGCAAGCGACACTCGATCAATGGAGACAGGCTCTCGAGAACAATGGCCTCCATATCAGCAGGAGCAAGACCGAGTTTCTGAGATGCAGTTTTAGTGAACAATATACGCCTAACATAAGTGTCTCCATTGACGGCCAGCCACTGCCCTGCGTCAATAAATTTAAATACCTCGGGTCAGTGCTAACAGCGGATATCAACATTGACGCAGACGTCACTCATAGAATTAATGCAGCGTGGCTAAGGTGGAGAACCCTATCAGGAATACTTTGCGATAGCAGGATATCAATACAACTGAAAGGCAAGATTTACAAAACTGCTGTAAGATCTGCCATGTTATATGGTGCCGAATGCTGGGCGGCCAAGAAGATTCACGAAAAAAAGATGCACACGAATGAAATGAAAATGCTACGATGGTCAGCAGGCGTAACGAGACTTGATAAAGTGCGCAATGAGTACATCAGAGTTTCCTTTAAAGTTGCGCCCATTGTAGATAAGATGGTCGAGAGTCGTATGCGATGGTATGGGCATGTGATGAGGCGGGAAGAAGAACACCCAGTGAGGAAGGCCTTGGCAATTCCTGAGAAAAAGAAAGGCAGGGGAAGCCCGTTAGCGACGTGGTGGACAACCGTATCCAAGGATCTGGAACGAGCACAGCTTGAAATACAGACAACCCAAGATAGGAAATCTTGGCGCATAAAAACGAGGAGAGCCGACCCCAAATAAAGGGACAAGGCAAGGAAGAAGAAGAATAATATATCATTTACAACCTAATTTATTTAGTGATGAAAATCACTAGTAACGAGGGATTACTCTTTAGTAGTAACAACGTATCTGCCTTTTGATTCGTACTCGAGGATAAAATCTATCGGCCACAACATCCACTTTCCACCAAGTTTTGTCACCTTATACAAGTATCAAAATAAAATTAAGATAATAAGTGTTTGTATAATTTTCCAGAGGCAGCCACTTGACAAATAGAAGCGTTCGAATGTTCCATTACTTACGCTCCGGCGAAGTTTTCTATTAGGCTTAACTTCGCTAAGATTGACGTCAATTTAACCGAGCATTTTAATCAAATTTCAATTAACAAGTTTTCACATAACAATTACTATGAATCTAGTAAATAAAGCCATGAATGGCCACAAAACAGTAGGATAGAACACAAGAACAAAGGATAGAATACACCAGCGCAGAATAGCACCAAAACACCGTAAATATGAGACACCGATAGAATAACAGTGGTTGTGGCAACACTGCTACAGCATCATGTTGAGTGTGATGCCTTTTTTTGCTGCAGCTATGGAGGGTAAGGATGACTATATCTGCGTATGAAAAAGTATCTGTTAAATAAGAATGGCGCTAAAATTGCAATAGGGTAAATTTTTATAACAGAAAAAATAATTTGGGCTATTTTCAAAAGTTTTATAACAACTCCCACAAAAAAGTTACTTTTTTTTTTATAGTAGAGGGGGCAAACGAGCATGCGGCTCACCTGATGGTAAGTGACTACCGCCGCCCATGAACAACTGCAACACCAGGGGAATCGCAGATGCTTTGCCGGCCTTTTAAAAAGGAGTACGCTCTTTTCTTGAAGGTCCCTAAGTCGTATCGGTCTGGAAAAATCGCTGATGGTAATCGTTTCCACAAGGAGGTCGTGCGAGGAAGAAAACATCTTCTAAATCGCACAGTGGTGGACCGCCAATCATCCAGATGGTGTGGATGGTATCGGGAGTTCTGCCGCGATGTGCGTTCGTGAAATTTGGCGGCTGGAATTAATCCGAACAATTTCTCAGAGCACTCCCCATGGTAGATGCGAAAGAAAATGCAAAGGGATGCAACATCTCTTCGCAGTGCCAATGAATCGAGCCGATCGGAAAGGGCTCGGTCGTCGACAATTCGAGCCGCTCTGCGTTGGATGCGGTCAAGTGGAAGGAGCTGGCACTGGGGAGCCCCTGCCCAGAGATGGGAACAGTATTCCATGTGAGGCCGAACTTGCGCCTTGTAAAGTAGCAGGCGGTGTACCGGCATGAAATACTGTCCCGCTCTGCTGAGCACGCCAAGCTTTTTAGAGGCCAATTTGGCCTACCCTTCCAAGTGACCACGAAACTGCACGTCACTCGATATGTCGACTCCGAGGATACCGATACTGGCTGAGGCAAGAAGGGGAGTGCCTTGATACTGAGGAGATACGACAAAGGGGTTTTTGATTTTATTTTTTTCAACGTATTTGAAATTTACAAAAAGAAAACGCTCTACGATATGTTTATTGTAGGTAATATTTAAAAATAAATTACCACGTAAATAGTTAGTTATATATGCAGCACTGTAACTAACTACTATAGTCACCAAAAAATTAAATTTTTAACTCAGTACACTTTAATCCATCTACAACTGCTACATTCATAACATATTGTGTATCTACGCTAGGGCCATTCTAGAAGGTTTTTGAACCGTTATTTACAGCTGGACAATTCTTCATCTTGTCCCCTCTATGAGATAATCCACACACATTCTATACCTGCAATCCAATTTTTTTTTGTATTAAATTTAAAAGGTAAAGTTAAAGCCTTTATAAAGTCTACTGAGAAGAGTCCTGCGCGAGTTCTGTCATGTTAGTCCAATGAAGTGTCCGCTGCGCTGCCCCAATACGTGTTAGCGGACTTCACTTGTCTTTTAATGTATAATATATATAACCTGCTGTTTTGTATTTGGAGTGAGGAGAAGCAGAGGCACTTGTCACTTTTTTATGGAATTAGGGTGACAAACGAGCAGACAGTCCACTTGATGGTAAATGTCTGCTGTGGCCCATAGACATCTACAACTATCCTCGATTACGAATCAAAATGCAGATGCGTTGTCACCTGTGAGGACTTAGATGGAATGCCTTGTTTCCAGTAAAAAAGGGTCTCCGGTTTTCTACACTCACCATACGAAACACAGCAGCGTTATGCTGCTATTTTACGCTGGTATTCTGTAAGAACGTGGTCCTTCCCCGGTCGAGCCGACCCATTCATGCTACAACTATACCAGAAATAATGCTGCAGCATGGCTCTACTACTTGTAACGAGGTTTTTATTCTTAGTCTATAAAGATAATAACGCATTCGAATTTCGTTTCCTAGTCGGGGATCGGTGTAGGCATCTATGGGCCACATCATCCACTTATCATTAAATGAACTACGTACGTTCTCATTTGCTACTTATACTTTTTACTATCAACACTATATTAGGAGGTATTTCAAGTCATAATTAGTATCAATAATTTGACTACATTTATCCTACACGCATCCATTTACCATCATCTGTGTGGTCTGTGCGCTCGTTTGTCACCCTTATTCTCTATAAAAATATATAAATGATGGACCTGCTTCACGTCACTAGTTTATTAAATGTGAATTCAGCGTTTTAATGGATTTTCCATCACTAGAGCCTCGTCTATCAACCAACAGAATATCCCACGTGTTGATAAGGTTGGCAGTTGGAGTTGAAAGTTGTAATATAAATCTGCGGGGTGCTTTTTAAAAAAATGCATTATACTACTACTTTCATTATTCTTTCAGTCCAGTTCAGATCTGAACCCATTTATTCCATCCATTACAGAAAACAAAACATAGCTGCTGAACATAGAATACCATGTTTGGGTAGAACATATTTTGTATAGCCTCATATAGAACCTTACCATATGTTTCACACTTGGCAGGGGGGTAGGTAACCGCAATTTTTTGTAATTTTGAGTTGTTATTAGAAAGTTGCTTTTGCTCTTCTCCTGTTCCAGTTCCCCCTATTTCACCTACAACACTGCGGTATACTGTAGTGGATATTCTTACATCGCCACTAAATGGTAGAGATTAGATGTGAACCCGTTGGATTACAAATTGCAACCAGTACTAGAGTCAAGCCCGCACAAAACGTTAAATTCATGTTGAGTATCTGGAGACAGTATAAAGTTGGCACTGGCTGAATTTCCTTATGTAAATCCATAGATTTGATGTCAGAAATAACTTTTTTAGAAGTAAGGTTTGTGTCAAAGCCAGTGGCGGCTTCAAGAAAAATATATTTTAACTTAGACTTCGATAGTTAATTACAAATATAAAATTATTTATTATTTATTCGTGCTAGACACGCTGCAGGTATATTATGGCTCTCGAAGTATAACAAATATCTACGTAAAACTGCAGACTAATGCTGCTGTGTTTCGTATGGTGAGTGTAGAGAACTGTAGACTCTTCTTACTGGATACAAGGCATTCTATTTTAGTCCTCAGGGCTAACAACGCATCTACAATTTTATTCTTAATCGAGGATAAATGTCAATGGGTCATAACATCTATTTACCATCAGGTGGACTGTGTGCTCGTTTGTCACCCTTATCCTATAAAAAAATACAAATGTTCGAGCGAAAATTTTGACAAATTAGTAACAGTACACTCTGTAATAAAGTCGACTATCGTTAAACATTACAGTTTGTACCGAGACAAGCATTTCCCTTGGAAAGACTATCTTTCTAATCCGATTGTGCAAAATTATAGACCGCTTGGAACTCTCCCATGTAATTTTGTTTACGTGGCCGAAAGCAGAAAGTTGTGTGTTGGATCTGGTTCAAAGTTTTCTGCTTTTATTGTTCGCGATTTGCTGTTTATACAGAAATATAACCCAAATTGATTATTAACTATATTTCATTTAATCTTATTGGAAGTCCTGTTTCCTTTTTCTCCATGCACTATAGGTCTTAACACAGACTTGGGAAACTATTACGTACTCGTAAAACTTGTGAAACTTTTAATAATTTATAGTTATCCCAGTATTTCATACCAAATCCTCGAGCCATGGAAGCTCAGGAATGCGCAAAGAGCTCGCTTTGGAATTTCGTGTAAATTTTTCCTTTTTATAGATAGGATAATTTAGGGTGACATATGAACATGGAGTTCACCTGATAGTAAGCAAAAATGCGGTCGGCCTATATTTATCTTTGATTAAGAATCAAAATGCTGCTGCGTTCTTACCCCTTAGGACTAAAATTAAAAATAAACAATGTTTAGTTCATTTATTTTAATATATTTATTTATTTCCGACACATTATAACATAATAATAACATAACTAATTAAAAAAAATATTAATAACAATTTTTTTAAATATTATGAACAAATATAACAAAAAAAAATTATTAATAAAAACAATATTCAATATTTTTATTCGTGTTAGAACCTGGCTGCAGCTATAATAATATAGTTGCAACACAAATGAGTTGGCTAGACCGGAGATGGATCTTGCTCTCACAGAAACCAGGTTAAAATACAGCTTAATGCTGTTATGATTCGTAAAATGAGTGTGGAATAGAATAGAATAGAATAATTTTTTGTTCAATAAAGATCACATGTGTAATTCTTATTGAAAGTATTTTTTTACTTTACCACTGGTTCAAAAAAAAACCTCTGTCTTGGGAAGAACCAGCAAGAAACCCAGCGGGACTTTTTTTTAAAAGTAAATTTTACATTAATGGTTGTACAAACTATATAAGTACAAAATGTATTTTAGAAATAGCTTGGAAGCGACCACCTCATTCCCAGGGGTTATTATCAACCATGTATTCATTTATACTATAACTAGCTGTTCCCCGCGACTTCGTCCGCGTGTTAGGGTTTTTATGTTATTACGCGGAACCCTAATTCTTTTTCCAAAATAAAAGTAGCCTAAGTTACTCCTTATGAAATCAGCTATGTACCT